ACTAGCTAACTTCCCTCTAGTCTTACACTGCTAAATTAGGGACGGCTAGCGCAGATAGCCATCATGTAGCTTTGCGCGAAATTCAAAACAAACAAACAATAACACTACCACTAATATTTTACGCTTGGGGAGTTTGTAACTGGCTCACTAGTGTTCTTCTAATTATAATGCACAATTCCATTTGATTTAAGTAGCATCCGTTCTTCTCACGTACTTTCACTCTCACACAATTTCCATATTACCATCCTCTTTCCTCCATCTTCCAAATTATTTGCTGATTGTTATTTCTTTAAACTGAGTATGACAAATTTAGCTCACAGCCACGATCACAACATTTCAATGTTTGACTTAGTCTATGAGTGACGTAAATATTCATTAAGCTAAGCCTTTTGGAGTGAGTACATTGTTCTAGTTTCTCACATCAGAATTTCCTTGTAAATTTTATAAATCAATAGTTCTGAGGCTATCAAATACATTAACTGTAAATAGGCGATTTTTTAATCAGCACTATAAAATAATAATGGTAAACTAATATAAATCAAAAATATTACAAAGAGGCTCAAAAATCAAAATTAATTTTTCCATTGAAATGTTGTCATCACTAAAACTCATAACTGATGATGTCTGTGGCCATAGCACCCCAGACAAGATCGAGACTCATCAGTAAGGAAAATCAGTTAAGGGTTAGGAGTTGAGAGTTTTAACCCACAACGCTTCAACTCCTACTGCCCTTCGTCCCCCGATGGGACAGTGGTAATTCTTCGGATTTACAATGCTAAAATTAGGGGTTCGATTCACCTCGGTGGACACAGTAGATAGCTCGATGTGGCTTTGGTATAAGAAACACACACACACAAACCTACTTACTGCCTTTCATTGTCTGCAGCCAGTTGTGGGAAGACAGTTACTATTAATATTTAGATACAACCAGTAGAAATAAACGACCCTAAATTTCTACAATGTAAGATTCCCATACTTCACTCTTTTATAAGATGTATAAAAAGACAAAACTAATTTCATCGTAGAAATAGACCACAATATATTTCTACAAGACTCTAAAGCTCCACCCTTTCATTTAATAATCACAAAATGATATTAAACAGAACTAAAAACCTTACATTAATAGTTCTTCATTCCCCAACTTTATATCTATAAATATATTTACATACATTATGATTATATATACTAACATATACATCCACACCTCGCGCGACTTTTAGTTCATTAATGTAACGGGGATGACGTTACGTCGTTCGTGGGGATTATTCGCCATGCAAGTTTGTGCGTCTTTCACCACGGCGATCTGCTATTCGCGAAATTAAACATCACTTTCATTTGAGGTTGGCTCCACGTTGCAAAAATTGAAAAGGCTTCCAAACTCAAACATTTTGTCCGATTGGTTATTTATTTAAACTTGATCTTTGGATGATCCACTTGTGTTCTTCTACTGGGTCGGCCAGATCCTCACCCCAAGTTGTGACGTAAGACATCAGACAGACAAATATGCTTTATATAAGAGACCTGTGTGTGTGGTAAAGAAAACTAGATATCCAGAGAAATAGTTGTGTGTTCCTTAAATATTCATCGAGTCACTTGAGACAAGTTGTGCTCCAAAAGCGTCTACGTTATATAACTAGCAATTAAGCCTAAAGTACAGTTAACCAGTTATATTAGAAGCGGAACTTGAGCCTATTATTGTAATGGATTTAACAAAAACTGTGTGCAATTAATCTTTCATACCTAAACTCTTTCATTTCTACATTATATATATATATATAAATTCTATAGACCAACTAGTGTGAGCGTTACCTACAATACTTCTAATGGAAACTTACCTCATAAAAATGCATGTGTGGAATTAAAATATAAACAGATATTAGAAACCGCACATATAAACAAAGAACGTTATGGAAATCTTACACTAGTGGTATGAAGTATATACCGATGAAAAGAAAAATGGAAAAGCATGCCGTGAAAAAATAATGGGCAAAACCAGGCTCAACACTGTCCCAGAAATTATACATTTAAATGCTAGAACAGTAGAAGACATGTCTATCACAGCACAAAGAGATAGACAAACAACTTTCAAGAGTTGTGGAAAGATAAATATATACCACGTGAGGAAGAACAGTCAATTATCGGACCAGCTAATTAGATCGACCGTCAGACGTGTTCTAGATTGCTTCCAAAATATTTATTTGATCCAAGGATAACTCCAACCACAAACCTGCATTAGCAGGTAAAGTTGAAAGCTGCATTGATACTAAGGGAGAAAAGTTGTACCTAAAAAAAAACGAAACTGTTATGACTATATATGATATAAGATTTATATGATCACTGCCACTTTATTGGCTTATAGAAAACCACGAAAACTTGGGCTTCTTTTCTTTTAAGTGTCTTAAACAGCATATAGGTTTACTGTACTGATTAATAGACAACCAAAACACTATTCCTTTAAATTGTGATTAAGAAATCCCGTTGGAACCACAGCAAGCCCAATTTAAAAGTATTTCACAAGTGAAATAGCGCTGAACAACACGTCGTTCATCCTGTTGAACATCTGAAAAACCTAGTCACAAAACAATATATATGTCATTAGAAGAAGGGTGGAAAGAAAGGCAAATTATACGCAGGTCTTCAAAGAACGCCTCAGTCTCGAAAGAGTACGTGTTGATGTCTTAGGTCTTCAGTCATAATTAAATTGTAATAAAACATTGTGGGGTGGTTTATAAACGTGGCCAAAAATGCTAAAATGCTAGCTCGGAAGTTGGTTTATGAATTTATATAGAGACCTCAAGTTTCCATGGAACTTATAAAGGATAGAATTTTACATTATGTTGTTGAGCTAAAATTTAAAAAATGGGTTATTAAACAAAGCTATCTTGTGTGCAGAACATATGTTTTTTAAACATCACTACTCCACTCCATCACTTAAATTATACATTTTTATAATTTTATTCGTCTCCCTTTGGGACAGGGGTAAGTCTACGGATTTCAACGCTAAAATCAGGAGTTCGATTTCCCTCGGTGGACACAGCAAAAAACACACATATTATAATTTTATTCACTAAAGGTTTTGTGAAATAATTTAATTCTTTAACGTGAATTTTATCTAAGAAGTCTGACATTACTTGCCTACAATCATGAGTATTAGTACCTCTAGCTATTTGTTGCCTATCTAGGCTGTATCTTCTTAATTCTGATATATAATGACTTACATATAATTGATAAAAGTACATTTCACTAATTTAACTTAGTTCACACCGAAACAGCTTCTGTTCAAGTAATAGATGATATTAATAGTGTCTCGTCCATTACTATATCTTTCGTATCTCAGCCGGTCTGATAAGCTCTAGTATTGGGCGAAAGGCCTAATCGACTCTGGATACAGAAGATCAAGTATGGTGAAATATTAGTACGTTCATCCTTACTTTCAATTATAAGTTCTTATAATTCCTTTTCATCGGTCTACAGGGCAGTGGTGGCCAGCAAGTTGATCTTATGAAATTAATAATCCATGATCCCATTGGAAGATAGAGTTGTCGTTAATAAGTTTAGCTAATTGTGAATGGCTCAGCTAGATGGAGCTTGTCATTGTAGTTGGAGCTTTGTGAACAAAATAGAATAAGGCTTCAAAGCCATGACACAACTCAGCAATTGATTCTAACTCGCCTGTGTCAATGTGCATTTTTGTTTCATATAACTCTAATTCTGTGCAACAACTGATACAGTAACTTTTTTGGAAATATTTCACAACTGCAGGTGGACCAGTTGAGAACTAAACAAGATATATTTTCATAGTGTGAAAACATTTTACTGGTATATTTCTTTTCCTTCATTAATATCTCGTCTTCAGTATGTACATAGTTCCATCGGTATTCTTATTCTACACTTTCGGTCTTGAAATCAAATTAATTATCAACATCATTTTAGATGTTGATATTTTTGCAATTTGTTTATTACTTTTTGCTTCCCTACCATATTCAATGCATGTGGCGGCTTCTATTAAATTTTAATCAAAGCTGATGATTAATTACCCAGCATGCAGTCCCATTATAGCACAATTGTTGATATTTCAATTTCAGTTTCTTTTAATTATAAGGTAAATTGTGCTACAAAATTGTAAGTAATTATATCATATTTCGACGAGGGACAGAAAGTAAATGTATTCTGTATGAATCTCTTTAATGTAAAATGTTTGCTTATTATTTCATTAATTTTTTATAATTATAACTATTAGACGAGGACGTGTGACCTATTATCTAACGAAGTATATGTATGAAGTATACTTGTCTTTATAGAATATTAAAAGTAAGACTATAATGTTGTAACCTTTAGTTTAAGTTATTAATTTTAATGCTAAGTAACGAAGCTTGCCAACAGAGTTATTATAAATAACTGTTTTATTTTTTATAACCTATACTAAGTTATTCGATAGTTGAAAAGTCTTTAAGAAATTACCTGAGAATGGCAGGGTTATAAATGATTATACAAAAGACTAAAAAATCTCTTTAATTATATGCACCACAATTTGAATGTGTTTTAATTTTCCATTAAATCACCAACTTTTACTTCTTAACACGTTTGGGCTATCGTCTGTAAATTCTAAAAGAATCCAGGTGAAAGTTCTGTACAATATTTTTGCTTAGTCAAGTCCACACTCAACCTGTAAAGATTTTGCGAGAACAAAACCCTACTTAGTTACTTATAATGTTATAATGGTTTCCATTGTTGATCAAATTTGTGAATAATTCGATAAAAACAACAAGGATAAATTCACTTAACGATAACAAACATTTTGTTTCTGAACTTCAAGTTCTATGGAAAGGCATAACTTTACAGATAAACCGTGCCTGACAGAAATTCCACTCACTTGCTAATTTCGTATCGTATTTGTATTTCATCTTCAAAGTAGAAACTCAATATTTCACTGCATTGAATTAAGTAGGTGACCAGGTGACTGACTAAATTATGCACTGATTATTCATTAACTGATTAATGACTAACTCATTCTTCTCCAAGTCGATTGTTATATATGACTCAAGATTACTTCCTAAACGCTGGAGAAAGTTCCATACAAAGGTCTTGTCCATAGACAAACCATATTCCCGCATTTAGTCGCCACCTTCCACTCTTTCGTTTTGTGAGACTTTTCTTCCGTTGATTAGTAATTACAACGAATATAGGATTGAAAGCTCTAAAATCCTTAAATGCACCAAATAGCAGGAAAAAGCACCAAAAATAAAAACTTTTCTTGAGGGACGCTCCTCGCACATCCCCTGCAGTTCCTATCACAGATTTGGACGTTTCGGCCTCAGCCACGCACCAAAGCGCGTGGTATCCTGCTTCCTCCAAGACAAAAATTCACTATCTCAGTTTTCCTACCCCCATCACGTTATTTTAACTTCCTTCCGGATAAACATTAACAAATTTCTTGATACGTGTAGATTAAAAAATAGGCCAGAAGCATACTATTTTCGATATGTAGAGCGTAAATCCTTCTATTTTAGAGAAACATTTTATTGATCACTTACATGCTTCTCAAATACTTATAACCATAAAGCATTAAATAAAAATTTCATTCTTATCTCTTTATATTTATTTGTTTCAAATAATATACATAATAGTCAGAGAAATACTTGTCGATTTTAATGCTTCTGTAAAAATATTGAGATTTGATAGTACGAGGAGTGTATAGCTTGTTGGAAAGTCGGAGTTTCACGTTTACCTTTATGTACTAGCTTTTCACAGGTGTAAAATACTACAACTCAGTTTCGAACATCTTATATGTATTTGCATCATTTTTTATTACAGCCTGAGGCCTGACATGGTCTGGTGGTTAGGTTCAATTCGCAATTTATGAGTCGAAGGTTCGAATCCAGTCACTGAACATACTCGCACTTTCAACCGTGGGGGCGTTACAATGTGACGTTCAAGCTAACTATTCATTGGTAAAGAGTAACCCAGGGGTTTGAGGCGGGTGATGTTGACTAGCTGCCTATTACTTCTAAGTTATGGACGGCTAACGCAAATAGCCCTCAAGTAGCTTTGCGCGAGATTCAACAAACAAACAAATACCTAAACAAATTACATCTTTCGATTCCATATCACCCAATAAACCATAGCTTTCTGAAGCTATTAAGATGAATGCACAGATTTGTTAGTTTGAAGCTGTTTATGCAAAATTTTAGAATGTTTTACAATAAACGTTATACATCATGTTTTCAGATTCGGAAGACTACTGCTGATGTTGCCCTCGTTAAGATATGTTCCAGCAGACAGAATAGAAACCTTGTTCTTCCAGAGGACGATTGGTAACACCCCAATGGAGAAATTGCTGTGTGACATGTATAAGTGCTGAACATGGAAACTTTATATGTTCTAGCGTCGTCGTGGAGTGTTAATCACTTTTTCTGACGTGTCTCCTGCATGACTAACAAATATTAGGCCCAATGATAATTACTGTTTGGGCATGTGAAAGACCAAATGTTTTAAGAAAGTTACTCCAATAGTAAACTATTAGGCACACGCACAAGACAGAGTGTCATCAGTGAATTAGAAATAAAATAATGATTTCTGCTATCTTCTTTGGTTGCAAACTGTATGACAACTGACTGATGCGGAGCCATACAATCCAGAAATAAAATAAGTCTCCGGAGTTGTACATTTAAATTAGAGTACACTACTCTTACAAAAGGAATATTGATTCTATTGTAAACAAGCCAGTAAAAAGATAAGATTTTAAAGATTCTCAATTTTGTATAAAATCCATATCTCATCATGAAAATCCACTCTAGAATTAGAAGTACTGAATGCTTGGAATTTCGTTTACATGTACGTATTTTATGCTATTTATGATCAGTGAGATATTGAATGATGTTGCGCATGCAGAAGCGGATCCAAAACGTTTTATAAGGGAGAGTTTCCATAAATCCAATTCGTTTTTTTCATTGTTCTTTGTTAGTTCATCGGAAAGGGGAGTTAAAGCACTCTCACCTTCCCCCTTTGGATCCATCCCTGACAGATCACAAAGATAACTATTCTTAAAGTAAATCTCTTAAAGCAGAACTTGGTGTTTTGATCTGCTCGTAAAATTTATTCTTAAAAATCCTGCCCCCAGTGGAAATGCTAGAAACCGGGTTTAAATACCCGTGGTGGGCAGAGCACAGATAGCCCATTGTGTAGCTGTGTGTTTAATTCCAAACCAAACAATCAACCAACCTAAAAACCCGCTTATGGTTTATCATAAGTATCTTTGCAAAGTCTTTAGCAAGCCTGTGCGTATCTAAGTTAGCATGGTAGAAATTGTTGAAGGACATTTTTACGTTAATAGTTGTCTTGTGAACTTTATGTGACATTAGATGTAACTTTTTACATTTTGAAGTTTAAATGCATTAAGAGTTTTTATTAATCTGCGTTCAGATTTCTGGTTAATTATAACGTACGCATATTTCTGTATATATAAGTTTTTCAGGCTCTATTCAAACTAATCTAACTTACTAGGGTTTTAAATGTGTTTTGAGCTGATGAAATAGTCTGATGCTACATCATTTTGCGTGTACGTGTACAGCCTGCTTTGAGTAAATCAAATGAGTGTCTTCAGTGTGTTATACGTGTAAATTATCGTTGTATATTGTCCTTGTGGTTATATACCTAATAAATATATGGTAAAATATTTGCTTAGAGTCAGTTTCTTGTTTGCATGGTAAGATAAATCTTGAATACATATCCCAGACCATGTTTTTGCAGGACCAACGCTAGCTGGGGTCGGGCAAGGGCCCTTTGAAGTGTCATGGGTTTCCCCAAGCTAATGCCGTCTATTTATCTAATTTTAGATACATTTTAGATTTGACTCCATTAACAACCAAACACACACTTAGGAAAAGCTGGAGCCGGTACTGTGTTTTTGTTCTTTTAATTAGGTTGTAAATCTATTGTTTATACCATGCAGTTGTTTTAATACTGATTTACAAACTGCTTCGAAACGTCTTTTTTTTGTAATCTTAGATTATATTCTTTTTCCTCTTTTTACATCGATCTTTTTAGTCATCGCTTACTTTGTTTCTACTTTAAATAACTTGACTTATATTTATATCACAAGTTAAAAAAAAAAGTCGTATCTATTAACAAGAATTGGTGTATATACTGTACTTATATTCGTATACTTAAACTATACGAAAATAATACAGGCCTGCGATAGTTTATTGTCTTGAAATTTGTACAGTAATTCCTGTACGCTGAGTCCGAAAATGATATCCATTTTTCTCCATTATATACAGATTTTTCACAAAACGTTATGACGCAATACATAAAAGCAAGACCACAACACGTAGTTTGAGACTAAAAGACGTAGATTTCACAAAACAAAATCAGGATGAATGAAGATGCATATTCGTTTGACATTGATGTTCTTCCCTTTTCTTCTGTTTGTTTGTATTTTTGTTAATAAACATAATAATAACAAATGTTCATTGTAGTAAACGAAATAATAATTTGGTCTAAGTAAGAGTATTTTTCCGATTTGTAAAAAATCCTTACGTGATAGAAAAAAAATAATAACATTATTTTCGAAATCTGCGTAGCTGAATTATGGAAAATCCGTTATTAAAACCAAAACAACTTTTGGTGTCATCACATAAACCTTATGATCACAGATAAAGGATTCTTCATACAAGATCTCATGGCTCCACACGTATCTCTGAATCTCCAACCATTTTTAAACAAAGGTCAATTTGCCAGGACCCAGGCTGAAATCACTGTCGCTAGAGGGCTATCCAACTGATGAAAACTTTTCAACTCTGGACCATCTTCCTCATCACCATTGACCATTTGCTAGTAAAATATTTCAAGTTACTGCAATGTTAGTTAATTTTCAAAATCCTCTAACCAAAGAAATGTGTTCAACAAATCCAAATACCTGTTGCATGGTTACTGACTTGATAAATGCGATACATGTAACTAAATGTTTAACATATTACATGTGTGCAGTATCTGTCTGTTCCAGTCTGTATCTGTTGCAGAGACCTTTACAATTTGTATAGATGATCAACGTTCTTTATAGAGTATACAAGTGCAAACCTGGCTTTGTTCGTATTCTCAATCGAGTATTGGATAGCTTTGGATACACAAATGTTTAATTATTATCGTTGTCAATAAATAAGAAGTGTCAAATCATGATCAATAAAAGTTATTATCGGTTTCGCAATCGAGTGTTCATTGGCGTGTAAACATGAAAAATATTATTTGTGAATAGGTTCATACATTTTAGTATACGTACATATTATATTTTGTACAATCACACCTAGGTAACCTAGCTAACACAAACGAAGTAGGCATAAACACTTCTAATCTTATTTGTTGTTTACAATAAACGCTAATCAATCCCGCCGTTCAAAAACACAGGCAAGAACACTTTGGGAAAAAATCAAGCAGTCCTGGGATATTTTCCACCCAAGCGGAATCTCGGTGGACTTGAAACACGTACGTTTGGCTAGTTATACACATCTCTATTAGTCAGTGACCATTTTCTTGGACCTGGTGGTAATATTTATACCCGGGAAGATCACTGATGTTCAGCTGTAGTATGCTCTCGTTTTTTGGATCTCTTCTCAAGAAATATCTTTTCTCCAGAAGATTAAGTAACGGCGCGATGCGGGCGCTGTAGGGACATTTCACTTCTATAATGGTGGTAGCATTTACAATATTATCAGGTGATCCACCCAAAGCTTCAGACGGATGTAGCCATAAACCACTCTCTTGACCTTTCTGGTTAGTGACTTCTTTATAAGTAGATATAGCGGCTTTTTCCTGCTGAATTCCTTCGATGTCGTATGATCCTAAAATCGTTTTCAACATTGACTTCCTGGGACGCCGACGAAAGTTAACAGCCTTTATTACTAGATCAAAGTTTGAAGCTGTGATGTGAGCCGATATAGAGACCACACGTGATTCATTCTCTAACCCCGAGTCTTCACTTCGTTATCTTGACGCTGTCTTATGGAAAACTAAATATTTTGGGAAAATATACTGGGTTCTCGGCTTTTGTATACTCCTCTCTTGTCAGAATATCTTCAACAGTTGGCGCTGGCAAGTCTGAAACCTCTGGTTCAGAGGAAAAATACCACGCAAGTCCCTTGAAACTATCGCCTTATGTGAGATCCTGGAGGTACCAACTGATATGCGCATGATCAGCTGGTCTTGTTAAGACTTAAAATTTCTGAAAGGGTATATTTTATCAATGGTCCTGTAATAAGAAAAAAATATTAATGATAGGCTCTGTAATAGAATAGTCTGATTCAATTTGTTATTTATTGTGCCCACTGTCACATGGTCCAGAGTACCTATTATCGTGGTACAGCGTCCCTCGTCTGTCCGTTCGGCCATCGAACCATCCATCTTCTATTTTTTGTCTTCTTCTTTACAAATATTGGGGATTTAAATTAACTATATTGACTTCAAGTGTAGAAATGTTGATTGAATTTGCTGATTTTTATTTATTTATTCATATTTTTTTGCTAATGTTTTTCATTTTTTTTGTAGAATCATTTTATCGTGAAAAGCAGTTACGTTTGATCATGCAAGTCTTCAGAGCCTAAGGCTCTTTTTAATTTAATTCAAATATGTCAAGGCCGCATCACATTGTTTCTTGTTTGCTCTCCCTCTTGATCCATTGGCATTCTTTGTTGGGGAATGATATGTTGTGATGAGCATGGAGGAGGGATATCGTAACAGCGTATAAGTCTCTCGGACAGCTACAGTTCTCTGGACTTATATAGCCATCATCTCCTAGTTCTACCAGAAAAGAAAGTAAAAAAGGAATATTTCATCTGGCGACCTACATTATTTGTTTTTAATTCATATGCTCTATTTTGCTTCCTTGCATTTTCCTTCATTAAATAATAATAATAAAAATATGGAAACACCTATAAAAAATAGTTATAAAAATGAATAAATTGACAATAAATGAATAGACTTGGCCTACAAAGTACATAAATAATATAATAAATATATAAATATTACGAATACATACTCGAGTGATGAGAATAAATGAATAATAATATAATAAATATAATATAATATATACATCAATAAATAAATAAACATACTGTTACGTCTCTGTTTGTTTATTAATTTCCGGTATAAGTTCTTTCCGAGGAACTTCAGCGATACAAGTCCTTTCTTAAATAAAACTAGTTTATGTTTTCTCGATACAACTTTAAAATACGCAGAATTTCGACAGTCACTTTA